TACGCAGTAAGTGAGCATGAAGGTCATCAATACGTGTATCCCGTGTGGTTGAGCCGTAGAGGAGAGCTTCCCGCTGACTGGTCCAGCGTATCCAGTGGAAGGCGGGACCTCAGGACGTGACACTGAGGCCGCCACCATTGTTACATCCATTGTCTATTGTCCACTCAGTGAAGACAGCCCTGCAAGCCTCCAAACTCCACTCGTAAATTTACACGACTTTCCCAAACGTTGAGCATTAACCTACAATTTACTTGTTAACCTTATGGTGTTGACTTTTGAAGAGAATAAAGTACCGTTGACCAGCGTTCCTCTCAGGGCTACTGTAGTATCGGGTAAATAAATACTGAACAGCAAGCGGCAACACTCCTAAAACCACCAATAGAAGGGGGGGGGGAATAATAAGCAAGAGACGACAAAAGAACTAAAAATATATAAAAAATGAGAAAATAATAAACAAGAACATATGGATACACAAAAGACCTAGGAACTAAGCCCTCAAAAAGGTTTACAGGAGTACATCTGGATTTATATCTACAGTTCAATTATCTGTCTGGAATCTTATTTTCATTAATAAAATACCTTGACACATCACATAGGTTATTATACTGCCTATCTCTATATTCCTCAATAAGTACACAATCACACAGAGTTCAAGATAGTGATCATGTTATAGTAGCCTGGCTACTACAACATCACCCATTATCTAATTTCACGTTATCATAGTGGGTTATATATCTACTAATGCTTCTAACAGCAGTCCTATTACATTCAGTTTGACCAAAAGCCAACAAAACCACAAATAAAACGGGGAATGAAATAATGCCCTGCAAACGACAACACTAGTGAAGTCATCAATAAAGCAAGCAAATAATTATTGTGCAGCAAATGGCAACACCAGTAGAAAAAATAAGACAAGAAATTTGTATTGCACGTAAATTTTCATTCAACATTTTCTGAATGTACAAAGTTACAAGATAAAAAAAAAATCCAACTACATGCGAAACTTTGAGCGGAATTCCCAAGTTCACAGGAAATTATACGAGGCAGGAACTTGAGCATTAAGGTGGGAATAACAGAGACGAACACAGTTTACGATGGGAAGCCACATTTGGTACATAGAATAAAAAATTAAAATGTCTTGAAAACAGCCACTCACGAGACATGGAAACAGCAACCACCTAGACAACCGCAGTTTCCGCCATAATAAAACCTCATTCATAACAAATCATAGGCAGGTTTGACACACAACTTGCCCACACATCCACTTACATCAAGAAATGTCCTAGACACACTGCAGAGTTGCCTTGAAGCAACCTTGAAATATTCCCTGGCGATCATTGCCACTATGGTAGGTTGGTAGACGTCGACCATCCAGGAATTTTCTTCCACCACCACATTTGAGTGTGAAACAGGAGCCTCTTAAACATTTTGCATAGATAGGATTGTTGGTCTTTTTCCATCTCATAAAAATATAAGATGACAAGCAAATCTTCCAAACATTTACGTACATTCAGTATTCAACGTCCCTCAAGGTAGGTTCCTTGATGCTGGTGACGGGCTCTTGATCTTGGGAATTTGACCTGTGCTCGAATTCCGTGAATTAAGCCTGAATGCCTTTCAACTCCCCCCCACAGGAGCTGTATAGCCCCTACGGGTTTAGCGTTCCCCTATGATAATCAGTATTCAACGAATGTGAATTTTCTCTCCAATTTTGAAAGCTTGGTCCGAGACCGAGCCTTGGGACGATCATCCCAGGAACAAATAGAAGATATAAAACCGTGGTCCTACAGATATCGAAAATTTACCCTTTCAAATCAGTGCCTGACCAACCAGGTTGTGACTCATACGTACGCTAGACTGCGTGCGGCCAACAATAAGTCTGGTTAATCAGGCCTTGATCCCTTTAGGAGGCCTGGTTTGGGACCAGACCGCGAGAGCATTGACTCCCGGAAACGTCCTTCAGGTACTCCTGAAGGTTTTTCCACGAACACCTAAGAATACAGCTACGTCTTGGAAGAAGATTCGCAGTGTTAAATGTTCTTTGTAGGTATTTATTTGCCAGTTTCATACAAAAACAGTACCGAGTTTTCCTTGTGATAACTTAGGGACATCTCTTCTGATCTTCAAACTTCCAGTGCTTGTGATTCCTACTGAAACGAAGGGCTGGATTTTATTGGACTGTGTTGGTGCCACTTGGTCAATTTTATTTAAAAAATTGTGAGGAATTATTTAACATTTGAACAGCTTTAGTATTATTAAAATTGTTGCATCTAACCGAAAGGAAGGTTCGCTAAAGTTTTAGACTGTCTAGGCGGAAATTTGCCAACTTTAAAAAAACAAATTGCGATATTCACTTCCGTGTGATGACGGAGTTTGTCTCCCCCTGATCAAATTCAAACTTTCAAAATTAGTGTAACTTACACAGTGGAAGTTTTGGATTGTTACTGGACTGTAGAGGCACCAATCTACTAATTTTATTTCAGCCCTAAACTGTGCATCGTTGGTAGCTGTGTCAGCCCGGCTGTAGCTAGTTTTTCTAAATAACTATCTTAAAGGATTGTAGAGCATTAAAAACGAACATAATTACAAAAAAAAAAAACAGAAAAATAATGAAAATTTACGTTTTAATATGTTGACGTTTGGCAAATTTAGCCTAGTCTCTCAGGGTGGCAAAAAATTAGCATAACACGTATATGCAACTTACAGTGTACTGTCATTGCCAGTATTTACTTTCTGTAGTGGATTGAAAACACAACTGTTTTGGAAATGTCTCCATCAGGCAAAAATATCCAGGCGCTGCACACGTGTTTTATTTAGTTCCCTTTATATCTGAAGTGAGTGTATAAGAAGCTTTGGACCCAAGTGTAACTAGTGCGACATTTTATTGTGCCAACGTTTCGCTCTCCAGGAGCTTGATAAAACTCCTGGAGAGCGAAACGTTGCCGCAATAAAATGTCACATTAGTTGCACTTGTGTCCTTTTGCTTTACATATTGTCGGTAATTCTACCAACATTATTGCAAGCTTTGGACCCTTTGCGATGACAGAGATCTTTCACACTGTACTTATTGCAACCCTACTTTTTATCGAGAGCAGTTTCCATCGTCTGCACTTAAAAGAACGCAACCTACACGCAATAAGAATCTCACAATACCGTGCAAGTAACAGATTGTGTAATAAGTACTGAATAACGATCAGGCAACGGTAACTCCACAGACAAAGCGACTCAGCCCCAGAGTGTACACAAGATTTCTGTGGGGTCTACCTGAAGGGTATTCCAGGGGTCAACGCCCCCGCGGTCCAGTCCTTGACCAAGCCTCCCAGTGAATCAGGGAATGTCTCCATCTGTTGCTCAACCCACTTTTATCTAGAGATCCTGATATCTTGCAGCCTCCTGGGTACAACAATTGTTCATCATTCTTCTCCATGAAATGAGTCTCACTATATCCTGAGAGTGTCAAACTAATTTTTAACTTAATTTTGATTAAATAATTTTTAATTTCAGGAAAAATGCAGTAAATGAATGATTCATATAGGCTTCCATTATTTGATGTTAATACGAATAAATCAAGATAAAACATCTTCAACTTTCTGTACTAAGTTTTCAACAATTTAACTTGAATAATTTTCTTAGTTTTAAACAATAAATAGGATGACTAAAATAACTTGAATAAACATCATTTGATTAACGATGATCTTTAATTCTA